TGGTGCTAATCCATAAAAGGGGAAGAAACTGGTTTAATGCACCTTGCTCAAGCTTCTGGTTCACCTGAGGAAAGATGATTTGGGACTTACTTAGAAAGCAGTCCTTCCTACCAAACTTCACAGCATGATACAAAAACTGGCACAACTAGTTCCAGTAGAGCTCTAGTCTGTGATGTCTCATTGGAATTGCTCAGACATTGACATGGGAAAAGTTTTAAATCATTAAAAAAAAAATACAACTTTATGACATTTACTTCCCCCTCTTTCTTAAAGAGCCTGGGATGGGGGGAGGTGGAACATATGCATGTGTTTGTTTCCTCATCCTTTGGGCATTTACAAGGATATGTATGTCAGAAAAAACAAGCAAGCAAAGAGTATCAGCCACTTAATGCAGACGAATGCATGCTGAGAACAACCTCCTCCACGTTCTCGGTTCCTCCCCACAGACTCATCTGGGGGATTCACAAACTTGTTCTTGAATCATTATTTCAGAATTTGTGGATAAGCAGCAGGATCTTGTTAGTCATCAGCAACTGGAGTTCTAAAGAACAACGAGAGACTCGGGTACAGAAAGAGGATGCAATTGTGAAATGGTTTGTTTGTGTGTTAAAGCTACTTGTAGAGAGAAACAAGGATGTTGCAAATACTCTGATTTTGGCAGAGAATGAATGACACTGATTGTCTTGTGGGTGTTGAATATTCCAATTTTTTAAATTAAAACTATCCTTTTATTCATTTGTTTGGGTTGGCTGTCTCTGACTTTCAACTTCATCTATCATTTAATTAGCTTTGTAAGATAAATGAGTTCATAATATGGAAATACAAGAAAAGAAACTCTGTGTCAGTTCTATTTTAAAATCTTACTTGTTCTTTTTAGGTCAGTTTTAAACGCTTTTCCTCATTTATATCTTTGATAGATGGGAAGCGTACATTTTTGCATTGAAAGATAACTTGACCGTCTTGCAAAGTTTTCCGCATTAACCAGAAGGCTTCTTTGCTGAAAATTTCCTGCTGTTTCCAAGAAACTGAAACAACAGCACTACGGACTTAAATGATATATAAGTGCTAAAAAAATTTAGAGCTTCAACAGACAATTACCAGTGCTGCTACCAAAAGATTTTTCATCTATTTGTATCTGAGAATAAAAAATTCCCGAGTCAGGACTTGACGATAGTCCAATATGTAATTGTTAGTTACAGGCTGTCTTTTCTCTTGAAGTTAATATTACTGCTATCCTGCATACCCTTCAATATACCTGGTAATCCTCATGTTGTCTTCTTGACAAACATACTTTAGTTCTTAATGTGCTTTGGATCTTCAGTGACAGCCTTCTTTTCTCCTTGTCCTCTCCCCTCCCTCTGAAATACATCTTTGTGCATTAGAATATTAAGGAGAGACCTTTATACAAAAAATGTTTAGCTTGATGTGAGACCTATTTATTCAGTATTTAAAGTTAGTTCACTCAGTAAAAAAACCCCAACATTTATTTTTTTAAGGAAATACACTAGTATACTCTAAGTCTAAAGCCACTCTTAAACTAGTAGAGCTGAAGAAGGAGGGTTTATTTTTATTATAAGCATTCCTGTCAAATGCTTATATACTGCCCAATAAATCTGCAGAACTGCTAATAACAGCTTTGCATTACAGGTTTGCAGATTTTTATATCCTTTAGTGCTTAAATATAAAAAGTGAAAGCATATGCATCCTATATCATTGTAAATATGAATAATATGAAAATGGATTATATGAACATTGCAATTAAATTGTCATTACATGGGAAAAAAGCTAGGATCTAGAGAAAGCCAAGTATGAGTCACTAATAAACCTCTAAATGTATCTTCCAAGAAGACAACCTATGAGTAATAGGGAAATGTCACAACAATGAGAGATGCTACATGTTTGTTCCCTAACAAGTTTGTAGATCTACAGTTTCAGGAGATCAAAGGTGTGCAAGGAAAGCAGATCATTGTACAAGTGTACAGCAATGAAATAATCTTTGCTTGACTATAAGCCTTTCAGACAAGATGAACAAACACCTCTTTCCTTTAAAAATAATTCTTCTGCAGAGTAGCTGCCTTTGTTTGTTAAGCACCAGGTTTTTCTATTTCTGGACTGTCTGAAGAAAGTGCCTGCATGTTTAGAAACATGATACAGTGACTTTCTCAGACAACTGACTTTAATTATCTACCTGATTTGTAGGGAATTGAGTGTGCAGTACTAACTACAAATTCTATGTGATTGAAAACAAAATAGATTATAGTTGTCATTTTTCTCTTATTAAAAAAAAAAAAAAATCTGTCCTGAGCTTTCCAGAGGCAGAGCCTGTGTATATAAAATACCGGAGCAATGGAAAGCGTTAAGTGGATGCAAGTCAAAGGTATCATGAAGGGGTTTACAGGTTGAACTGTAATACTAACCATCATTTGTGATATAAGAATACCTGAACCAGATCACACGTCTAGAAGTAGCCACATCAGAAATGACCACACTGGATCATCTGCTCAACATGATTAAATGGCAGGTGCTAACTTTTGCTACCAACTGGCTACAGCCAAAGAGCCAGCTGGTTTGTTTTAAATGCTTGGGCTTTGCTATACTACAGTCCTATGCAGATTGCAGGTATTAACTTATAGCTATACTTATAACAACAACAGTGGCAGGGGAAGAGGTCTATACTTTGGTTTCTTTTTGACCTTAGCATGGCAGGCAGCTACACGGAAAACAACTCATAAGCAGTACAAAACCTTCTCCCTTTGTGCTTAGTTTCCAGAAATGAATGCTATGATAATGAGACGATTCAGTAAGCCAGGAGATGTTGAACGTGCTCGGAAATATGTGCTGCAGGTAGGACTAATACCAAATATTTCATTCCTGAAGTGCTGTCCCTGCTGAAGTCAGTCTGAAATTCATTGCCTCTGAAATAAAATTTCATGCAGGGCTGCTGCATTTTCAAATCATGTTAAGTAGAATGCTATGTACAATACCAAGTTAGTACTCTTCAGCTGTCTTACTGGCACAGTGTTTTAGCAGAAGTGCTGGGTACTGAAGAGTTGGGTTTTTTTCTTTTTTTCCTTCCAATAGCATAAAATCCACATAATAAAAGTAAAAAGCCCATACATGAACTCGGTTCCTTCAGCTGAAGAGTAGCTGTATCCGACAACTGGTGTAAGCGGCACATAATTACCAGTCTTGTAACTGCAGTGCACACTCCGTATCAGTTTTAATTGACTCTGCTCTGGTCTGAAAAGACTGAACAATTGTCTGCGCAAAATTAATACCCATTTTTTCAGGATCGCATGTTTTTTTGTATATCTCTATTTAGGGCAAGAGGGGAGGGGTTAAACCATTAGTTTCTAATCCTACTGAATAGTATGTTATTAATACCAGTGTTGTTTTGTTAAGTATACTTAAGTTTAGCATGGATGAGTTTTAGTATTTTGACACTGTGGGGAAGAGATGTAGGATTGAATGAATATAGAATGAATCTTCTTCCTTTCCCCTTCAGAATATAATTAAGTGTTCAGGGTACTTACTGACCTTAAAACTTCCCCCTGTAACTGGAAGAGGCAAAAGGCAGGAGGGAGGCTGACCAGTTATCCGTTACCTTTAACTGTCTTCTTACATAAGAGTGACGGTGTGCAGCAGACAACCTACCTCGCCCAGCGCTACTGCCATGAAGCTACCAGAGAGATCAGTAAGCTACGGCCATCCCCTGAGAGAGAAGCCCTCATTCAACTGACAGAAATGGTACTCATGCGAGACAAGTGAGAGAACTCCTTCCACTCGTTCTGGCAGCTACTTACCAGACTGTGCCTAAATTTACTTCAAAAGTTATTTGCTTCCAATACAGGCTACCAAAAATTATTTTTTTAAGAACCTTTTTTTTTTTTTGGAAGTTCTACTTTTTTTTAAAAACAAAAGTTTCAAGTGTTTTATTGTGGGAAGCCATACAATTCAGAGCAAATCAAACTGTGTTGTACAATTGTTTTAGTGGGGGCTATTAATTGTGGGGGGGTGGGGAAGATGTTTACATGTTGATGCACAAGGGCCACAATGAGAATAAATATAAATCAGTGTATGAGAACTGAAGTTGTTCCAAATTTCACTTGTTCACACTAATAAACAGAGCATGCATGTTACTATCTGGTAAACTCCTGTGAAGAGAGATGGTTTGAATGCTTTCCTGGCTGTTAAACTACAGAAGTATATACAGAAATTGGTTAATTATAAAAGACTATATGTAGACTTTAATTGGTTATATACATCAATGAGAAGTTTTCCAATTCATACTGAAATACAGGTATGCTATTGGTTGCTACTTGCTAGCAGTTAAGAAGATGCAGAATTCGAGATTGCTACAGTTAAGAAAATGAAAGGCTCAGTATTTCTAACTCACACTAAAAATAAATGATTCAACAGCCAGTCAAAGCTTCAACTCCATCACATTTACAAAGTATATTCAATACCCTCCTAGAAGTCTGCTTTGAAGTCCCAGACACATTCCTCTTACAGTAATTACCCAGTACTACCACATTCCTTTTCAGGTTATTTTAGCCACAGAATTTGTACATCATCTCTAACTATCTTTGCCTGTGATCCCTTAACACAATGGCTAAGTTCCTGTCGTGTTTGTTCCCCCTTTGTCATATCTTGAGGACAGCCTGTCATCTCTGCTCAGCTGGGCACATCACCAAGCCAGATACACAGTTTCCACTGAGAAACATCAGTTACAGATGGTGTCCAACTTACTGCATCTAGATAACTAGATTCAATCAAGAATCCTTGCTAAAATTAATTCTGGAAGAAAAGAACTTTTAAGAGTATGTATAAATGTGTAATTGAGGTTTCATATCTAATTTATTTGCCCTCTGTCAGTGATAAAGTCACGTTACAAACATTTGCTTTTTAGTACATTGCCTGGGATAACACAGCCATGATTTTGCTAAGTTAGCGTTCCAATCTTCTTTGCCAAGCCAACCAACAAAGCAATGGACAAGACCTTTGGTTCACTTATATATTTATGAATGGAAAAAGTCATAATGTAAATTTACTCATTAAAAAAACTTGGGTACAAATTACACATACATAAGACCACCCATTTTTTGATTCACATGGACACCTTAGACCCAAACAACTCATTGTAATAGACTTTAGTGAGAATACTCCAGGTAAAGATTACAACAATTGGAAGCATCTTGGATTTTTAAAAAAGTATATTTCAATACATAAGTTTGTATGCATGCTTTAAACAAATATAGTTCAAGAATGAGCAAAGAGTCTAAACAAAAAGTAATATGACCAGCACTAACATTAAACTTCTCATCCAGATTTTAATATGTTAGTCTAACATAGTGTTAGTTACCATGCTGTACTGAAAAATGTAATGGCACAATCTGATCATGGTTCATTAAATATTATACCCTACTTCCCCAGAATATTTAGGCTGGTCATAAAATTAACAATGCAGAAGTAAATAAGTATAACCAGTTATAGACAGTTGCTTGTTTTACAAATTGCCATCAGGTAAGACATACTGTCTCCGGAGACTTAGAGAGATGGACATTCAATCATACCATTAAAACAGTATGGCCTGAAGAAATGGGCACTTTTTTTTTTTTTTGAAAGTGTATTAAGACAATTCTGTTAGCTTTTAGTTACCCCTTGTAAATAATCATGGTATGACTGAATACAAGACCCAACTTTGAAAAGCAAAGGATTTTAATCGGCATAGTGCATGATTGATTCAACATAATTCCCAGGAAACAAGCCAGTTACTCGATTGCAAACTCCTTCATACCAGCCGTCATCATTCTTCTTTATCACATAAATGATTGCACCCTCCATAAACGACAGCTCATCGTCTTTGTCCTTTGTATAGTCATATATAGCAACAACTGTGGATTGAACAGGGACACATTTAGCATTTTATTAATAGCACCTGTATTAACATTTTTTGAAGTACAATTATTTTTTTAAAAGACTAGTTTGCTATCCTGGGATTTTCCATAACGAATTCTGAACATTAAGTCCAGAAAATGAAATTCCAATTTTCCTGCAACATTAGCTACCAGTAAGAAGTGGGTGGTGACTACACTGAATGCTCAGCTAAACTATTGACAGAGAGGTACAGTTGACTGTGACACAGTAAAGCGGAGCATATGGACACTTAAAAGCTGAACTATGAAATAACTGGCTCCATGAGTGTGGCAGTCATTTCTGGTCAGATTACCTCAAAAGCATATAGATCCCTGTATAGGGATCTCTTGATCAGAGAAAGCCTAAAAAAAGGAAAAATAATTCTGTAGAAATGGACCAACAGAAGAAAAATTCTACGCTATGGCCCCTGCAGCTATATAGCGTGTACTTCAGTGTATGATCTTGTAAACATAGCTGCTTAAAGCCACTGTACAGAAATGGATGGTCTTTGCTACAGAGCTTCTATGTGATAAGAAGTTTTGGCGTTACTTTTCAAGGCGCTGCAATGAGTGCAAGTATAAAAGTTACTGTAGGAAAAAGTAGAAGCAAATTTACAGCAACATCAGCTATTTTTAAGTACCTGCTTGGTGAATACATTACTCTTACCAAGCATCCAACTCACTCTGTGCAATTAAAAAAGCAGAGATCTCCCTAAGGAAAGTAAATGTCGCCACCAGTAATACTGGAATTAAAAACTACCACTATGAATACACGAACTTTGGACATCACAGCCTTACCCCTCAAAACAGTTAACATGGATTTATGCAACTGATCAGCTTTATGAATTCTAAGAACCTATTATCTTACATATATATATTCTCAGAAATCTGATGTCTTAATGCCTAGCAAATAATGATGCGGTGTATCAGTTATTTTCATCCCATGGGTGTGTCCTGCACACGGTCCAGCTAGGAGTGAAGATCGAGGACAGCAGTTCTGCCAAGACAGGTATCACAGGTACCCTACCCCATTTCATACACACTGAAGTACCATCCAGATCATGAGAAAACTTGCTACATTGCTGTTGACAAAACGGTCATTGTCAGAACACAGACAACTCTACGGGCAGGAAATCAGCATCTCAAATATTCATGGGACCAGATATTTGCTATTCGAGTTCATACCTAAGCAGAGTTTTATAGTCTGCTGATCTAGAGGCACCGGTTAAGTCTCCAAGGAAGCCTCACTACAGTTTATAGTTGAAAGTCTAATGATCCATTCTAGCTATCTAGTTTGATGGGATAAATAGAGCTCGGACTTTCTGGTCTTTCTGCAACACTATTTCTAGATGATTGCCCAGCAATCCTGAGGTAGCTGCAGACACAGTCCAGCAGCTCAGCGAAGACTAAAGCCATCTGATTTACATCTGCTGCTCATAATGAAGGATTTTTTTAATCCATTCTAGAATGCTTGAAGGTATTTTATAATCCTTCTTCTGAAAGATTATAGTTTATCACATTAGGTGTAGCCACAGACAAACCAAGAAATGAATAGTTCGAGTTCTGACTTAGCAGGGACAATGATTGTTTTCATCAGACCCAAGCTAAGTCCTTCACGTCTTTCAGATACCATTAATCCTCTGATACTGCAGTAACACAGAATTGCAACGCTTCTCTTACCTTTCTCTATATAGTTTTTAGGTGCCCAGGCAGGATCTCCATCTGCATATGGATCGCTGTACTGCACAACAGCAGCCTCCTCATCCTCATAATCCACAGGGGGTGGGGGTGGAGGAGGAGGAGAATCATCAAACATTGGCATCTCATCGGGAGGCGGTGGTGGGGGAGGAGTCGGGCTATCAGCAACTAGAAACGTTTGGAGATTATTTTTTTTTCTTAAATCAACAGTGTGGAGATGCAAACAAACCTGAGGCTGTACACTGTAAATAAAAGGGGTCGGGGGATAACACACATAGCATGCACTATAATACCATGCACTGATTAGAAACAGAGGCTTTGAATTAACAGCTACAACGTACAACTACATTTGTTATTAGTGGTCAAATCTATGTATAAATGCTACTAGAGTCAAAGCACATGCTGCAGGGCATAAGCTGAACACCAGCAGAGAGGAAAGCTTCCTGCTCCGACGTCCATGCGCTGAGGGGCTAGCTGCAGCAGTTAGCTATGGGAGGACTCCGAGTGGCACCCTCTGAGCCAGGCAGCAACAGGCCTCTGGACTGGACCAGCAGCTTGATTATTTCTTAACACATCCTTTGTCTGTAACAGTCATTTTAATTTCTTTCTGAACACTGCTTCCTTGGACTCCTTTTCTCTCAGAGCTAGCATTAAGGGGACAAAAAGATCTGGTGTGGACCATAAAAAAGGGAAGAGACTAGTGTTTAAGATTTAACCAGGTAAGAGAAAGCCAAGTAATCCTTCTGCAGAAGAAAAGCTTTGTACTGAACCTTATCTTGCAGACTAGCTTGTGAGCTTGTGTGTGTGCACATATCCAGGATTCAATTAATAAATGGAAGACTACAACAGGCAGCTGCTGCTCTTGGGGAAAAAGTGCTCAAGGAATTAAGCATATAATCCAAAATGTCAAATCCCTGCCCTGAGATTCTCCAATCAGCACAATTACAAGTTGCTTTGGGAAAGGGAAAAAGATAAAGGCATTATGGTACAAATCACTCTTAGAATCAGTTCATCAGATTAGTTTTCAGTAACGTTCACAGCAGCTGGCAGCAAAGGAGAAAGATGAAAGATGCAAGACATCAAGTCACTTATCCTATTCCTTGGGAACTGTGGTCCACTACACACGGACCTAGGTATAAGCACTATGAAGCCAGAAGTTACTGAAAGAAAGCTACTGTCACTAAACTCAACTTTGTTATATAGCAATACAGATTTAATTACAAGAGATTTGGCAGTCTGCACATTGAAAACAGGCTGAAAACCACTGCTTTGGAAAGCATTTGACTGGAAGGAGCCATCAGGCTGGGCATGTGCTCCAGAACACGTAGCTCCAGCACACTACATTAATTTTTATAAGAAAGCCAAGCTGCAGGGCAAGGAAAGAACACCACCGGGTGAAGCTTTAGCTACTGCTAGTTACAATGGTACTGGAGATTAGAAATAGGGTTTCTGTTTGCTTTAATGCTCTTTACTTTCGCCTGGCCACTACTCCAGCGGTGACTAACCTTTGCTCTTCAGCCACATGCCCCTGACCAGGGGCTTGAGCATAGCTCCCATGTCCTAGCTGGGTCACACTGGCTGCGCTGGTACAGGGGAAGCCAAACCTCCTGCTGCGAGGCGGGCAGAAGCCAGCAGGAGCTGCTAGGGCAAAGGCTGCCTCAGCCCTGGCACCCAGCCTGCTCTCTACCCTTTGAAGAGCTAATGCTGTTCTTCACCTGCGAGCCCAGCTACTCTTCAACTTGACCAGTTGAGCTGTATGCCCCACAGCTCTCTCCATCAGTAAGACTGGCTGCCACTGTATTAGTGATTCCTCTCCCATACAGAAGCCCATTTATGTCACTTGGAGACAGACTAACAAAGTCTTTGGCCAAGTGAACGCTAAGTCTTGTCCGTGTTACTGAATAGCACTCACAGGCAGGCTTCGTTAATCCACCACAGACACATGACAACACTGTTTATGAATGGACTGGTTTTGTGCAGTAGTTTCGGCACATCTTTCACAAATGTATTTCTCCCCTTAATTTCCGTCTGCAGCCAGGAAAAAAAACAGTATTGAAACAACAATCCTTTGAGATCTTGAAAAATCCTTACCTTAATAAATGCAAAAAGTTGTATTTATTCAACAACGAAGTTGCTTATTTGAAAAGAAGAAAAGAGGGCAGGAAATGCAAATGTGAAAGCGCCAACACATACCCTAACTGAGATGCAGTGCAGAAACTGCATGCTTTATGGGAAACATTTAAAACAATTCAACTTCACATTTAAACAAAGGGAGAGAATGGAACAGAAAATTAGACAAGTGCCACCCCATGGAAGTACGGATTTTAACTTAGACTTTTCCTGGTTCTGAATTTAAAACAGGCAGACTCCAGAATAGCTAGGGGGAAGGGAAAAAAGCATACAGAAAACCACACTAAATGAGAAAGGGTAAAAGGACCAGTATTTACATAGCTCCAAATTGAGACATCTTCTCTTGTATGTATTCACATCCCTGTTCTTTAAATGGGGACCAGCAGACTCCTTTTGAAAGGACTGGGTATGACAGTATAGCAACTTACATCCAATCAGTTATCCCTGGCCGCTGGACACACTGGAAACCTCTCTAAAGGAGATACCCACAGTTTGGGCACAGGGCGCAGGAAAAAAAAATAGGCGTTGCATAGTTTAAGCCCTCTGTCCTTGTCCTCTGAAAGAAGTCCACAGAGCAGAGGATGTTGCTTTCCAAACCCACAGCTCTTTATGATAAGGAAAAGACAAGCCTACCCACGTATCTCCCTAACTCCACTCTCCCGTAGACTTCTTGCAGAAAATGAGGCAGATGAAAGTCTAGCACACAATGCCAAAACTCAACAACAGCCTCTACAGCCAGTTTTGCTGAGCGTATGCGCAGACTGCCACACGCACCCCTGCCTCCAAAATGAGGCGGCAGCAGCTCAAAGCCATACTCGTTATATAACTTTCAAACCCAAGGGACTGTTAAAAGAAAGAAAATAAAAAGAACAATTCCTAAGACCAGATTACAAGCTTCAGCTATTTTTGCTGCAATCTCATTCCCAAGTCAGCTTGCACTTTGTTGTTGCACACACGAGTTAGTCTGTCCCTTTCACCTCCGCTCTCCCAAGGGCTGTGTTATCTCCAGGAGGACAATACTTGGAACAATTCAGAAGCAGGTGTCAATTTTCTCAAGTTTATCTGCAAGTGAAGACATTCTGTAACCTTCATCTCCAGTAGGTTTACCTCTACACTTTGAATTTTGGAAAGGTTCGTCAAGACAATTTTGTGGCATACTATTCTACATCAACATGATTCTTATTATTTACCTAGCACAACACCAAAATACCTTCTTTTTGAACGAGAAACGGAGAGATGCCTCCTATCTCTAGAGGAATTCTCAGAACATTAAAAGCTCTAATGGGAAACTGAACAGCAGCACTAGTCAGATCTGGGGGCCCCTAAATGTATGCTGAAGCTATGTAGCTACTATGTAGTAGTAGCCCCTCAGATCCTAGCAGACTTCGCTATGGCTCCCAAACACTTTAAAAACATTTTATAATTAATTAATGCACCTACATTGCATTCATTCTGTGGTTTAAAGAACTGCAATGTACTCCTACAGCAAAGATGTCCCCAGATCAGGATCACGACTTTACACCTGCACTAGCATTTGGGACAGTAGCACTCACCTGAAATGAATCAAGCAGTAATGGTAAAAGCAGAGTTACCAGTATAAAACACCTTGCAGCACATATCATAGCCAGGGAGCATATCTCTCACAAACCTAACAAGCAGAGCTATGCTGCAAGAAGCTCAGTAGGGAAATCTGGCTAGAGAACACAAAGAAATGGAGAATGAAAGGCTGACGAGAGGAGAAATACTTTACAAGCTCCTTTGTAATAGCATTAGATCATAAGACTGCACATTTCAATTGACTGTACAGCTTCCTGAAAACTACTACAGTATTAGAGTCAATGGTTACACAGTACATATTTTGACAGTCTACATAAGCCTTTCTAATAAAAAGTAATCAATTATCCCTAGTGAAAAAGCCTCAGGCAGGATGATTCAACATAAAATTAATATTTTTAATTAAGATACATTTTTATATTCATACCAAGCAGATGCCACATATTTCACACTGTATTTCTATAATAAATTTGCAGTTCAGAACTTAAATGGGTCAGTAATAATCATGCACGTTATAAAATATTGACGAGTGTGCCCTTCAGCTCCAATAGCATATTGACACTAGAATGCAAGATGGTATTAGCTTCTGGAAAAGGAAACAAAATAGAGTCTGACTTGCCAGCCATGCATGCTAGAAGAAAGTAGGCTCTACCCTTTAACAGCTCATCTTGTCCAAACTTACTGTTTTCCTGCACCCTGGCCACGAAGCCTGTGAGAGGTATCTGTGGAGTCAACTGAGGCATAGGGGGAGGGGGTGGAGCAATAGAAACTGGTAGCAACACACACACCGTATCGGGGAAAGTCAAACAGACAAAGGGGGAAGGAAAAAAAAAAGGAAACAAACAAAAGCAGCCGTCAGTAACGAGGACCACAAAACAAAGTATGTAAAGAACAACAAGAACACACACACGGAGAAACCTTCTTCAAGCTTATGTTTCCAACAAGGCTGAATTCGTGGTTAGCCAATTGAGGATCAAAAAAGCAAAGCATGCCCCTGTGTTTAGCTGAACATAAAGCCGAGCGCAGGCTGTGTGTCTGGAAGTTTACAGGGTGCGCATGTGAAGGGACTTGCTCCGCTTCACTTAGGAGCTTTTAGTCTTGCTGCCAAATAAGGATTACTCAAATTTAGTAGTTATCTTTTAAAAGTACAGTACTAGAAGTAGAGGTGATGTTTTGCAGGATTCTGGACTCCTCCTCTAAAATAAGAGTAGAGCACTACATCAAGTGCAGCAAAGCAGCACTGACGCAGAGCAAAGACAACTACTTTACAAGGGAAACAATGCTGCAACACCAACACTTAATATTCATACAGAGAGCACCTTCTATAATTTTCTTGTTCTTCTGGGGCAGGGAGGCAGTGGGTTGGCTTACTATGTTTTTGTTTTACATAGAAAAAGGGACCTTGTTGCTTGTTGGTAGGAAAACCAGATGGGTTTAGAGCAGAACGGAGCTTTACTTTAAATTACTTCTTCTGTGGTTAGAGGCACTCGGCAACCTAAGAGGCTGGCAAAAGCTTCAACAGCTACAACTGGCTACACTAGTGCACAGAGCTCCCCAGGAAGCACTTGCAAGCTCGTCTTCTCTGAAGTATGTACCTATTTGGTGAGTAATGAGATATGAGACACACGGCACCAGTGCTCAGAGATGCTGGGCTGACAGCCGAGATGTTCAACTCTTCCCTCTACAGGTGGGAAAGAGGCAGTAGCAGTAGGGCATGCCATTCAAAGTATCAACTCTAGCAGGATGTCTCCCCATGAAGCAGGGGGAAAGAAGAAAAAGAAAAAACCCAACCAAACATCAACTCATTTGTTTATACTGTGCCCCTTCTCAGTGGAATTTCTCTTGCACTGAAGCAGAGAAATTCCTGTGAAGGTGGGAATTCAGCAGGGTAATCGTGTTGGAACCAAATTTGAAAGAGGTTCTGTACTTCCAAGTAAGCAACAGTTTTAAATAAAGCCATAACTAAGATTAATGTTTGACGAATAAAAATGGAGCATTTAGTTCATTACAAAACCAGTAATCAAATAAACTGTATGGGAGAAATGATCAATAAAAGAGGGAGAACAAACAGGTTTCTCACAAAATTGAAGTAAACCTCTAAGAAAAAACAGAGTATTTGTTAGCATGAAAAGTAAAACCTTAAGGAAACATGGGACCTGGATTTAATGTCAAGACAGCAGCATTAAAAAACAAAAAAATCACCAGTTATAGAAACAGAGGAAAACAGTTTAAAGTAGAAAAACATACCCATCAAAATACTGTTTAAAAATGTTGACAATCAGTATTTTGAAAACACCAGAGAAGCTAGCTTAAGGAACAGCACCTGCATTTGAGCAAAAAATTGCTTTGGACAAATGTAAATGTTCAGAAACTGTTGTGTGCACAGCATTTAAGACAACTGAACTATTTCCAGAAGTAAAGCCCTGTTTATTCAACAGAACACAACTGTTCAAACAGGAAGGAGTTTCTGTTGTTATGATGAATTAATCTGGGGGAATGAGACTGTGGAGGAAAATGAAGGGCCAGTATGGGTGAGAGAGTAGGAGGAAAATCAGGATTGGGAAAGAAAAAAAATAGATAGGTACTGTGTCTGCATATAAAAATGCTTTCTGATAAACGTAATACTGCTAAACCATGGAGAAAACTCTTCACTTCACTGTCTCAAACATTTCACATGTATTCTTTCCTTAAGAGTAAGTACACAACAGCAAATACTGGTCCAAAGTGATCTTCAGCCCAAACATCAACATTTCTTTTTAAAAAAAATATCACTCTGAAGTTTAAAAAGTTGACATGCTGAAGAACACCACCAGAAACCATTAAAGGGCTCCTCTATGTGTATCTGGTCAAAATTTATGGAAATGGCAAGGAAAAATTTCCTGATAGAAACAGCTTTCTACCAACACTCAAGTAGATCCTTATTTTGCAGATCTTTCTGCAGTGAACCTCGTTTGCCCTGTTGGATAGGTAGGAAGGATGCTGCTGACTAAAATCTGCTCACTTGCCCATGGCATCCATCCCTTCCCTCATTCATCTCCATCTATACTACTACTGATGTGGAAGCACAGAGGAGGAGTCTGCTAAAAAGAGAGAGACTGAGCTCTTCTTTAACAGTAAAGCTTAAAACTGAGAACAAAGGAGAAACTTGGAATCAGGAAAGGATTTAGGAAAGAGACAGAGACAGGGAGGAACTGTACGATGGGAAAAGTTTGTTACATGAGCACTGTGCTCTGACACTACTCTCTTGCCACTAACCATATTAGGTCTCCTGCAAAAAAAAATCTGGTTTTAGTTTATGTTCTCCAAGCACACCTGAAATGCTAAGTATAATGTGCCTATAATTAGATAGGCAATCATAATAATTTCTTCTCATGAGTAATAGCAAACAAGTCAGAGGGGAAAACAGTATAATTGCATATAGTGCAATCACTGTACAACTTCAATATGGTTTTTCTTGTTTGTTTTTCCTTCTATTTTAGGAAAGAAAGCAGTAATCTGATTGATGCTCTTCATAAATGAATTAAAATGCCATGCATGCTTTTACAATAATTTTGCTCAAAACAGTTTGTGATTTCAGAGCTCAGAAGCTTACTTGAATTTTGAGAATAAAGAGGCCCGCCATTAACATGAGGTTGAGCAGAAAATGGGGCAGTCACAGAAGGATTCCGTCTGTATCCACCAGAAGATGCTGAAGAAGTGGTAGAGTTGTGTCGCGAGATTTGCCTGGTCATTGTGCCATACTGGGAACCAGGAGCTGAACCCGGAGCAGCTGAAAAGCATTAGCCAGAGGAACCAAGGAAAAGACTTAAGCAGAGCATTACTTGGGATAGAATGCAGAAAATAGAAAAAAGCCCAGAACATGGGAAACACTTGATTACAGGTCTCCAGTAATTTAAGGCCAGTAACAGGACATTAACAGAATACAAACATCCCTGTTATAATCAATAATGAGAAAAAACACACAGGCCATAAACCAACACTCATATAAAGGGCATTTGAGAATGTTGAGAACTACTTTGAGAGACCGGATTGGACTGGAAAATTGAATCAGCTTCCAACTCCTAAGCATATCTCAATTATTCTACATGCAATACCCTTTATTAAAAAGCACACAGAAAAAAATCCACATTCTGCCCAAAGCAAATGTTTTCCGTTGATGTACCAGAACTTGTCTCCAATCTAATACAAAAAGACACTCTAACAAAACAGTAAAACAAATGTCATGAGCTTCAGACACTTGGCACATTTATCAATCATATTTGTTAGTTGGGCTTTTATATTGATGGAATTTACACTAACAAATCAGAATCACCAATGCCAGCTGACAGAAAGACATGTCACTCATTCTTTAGGATGAACACCCATTTTTACCTTCCACATGCTTGCTGCACAAACTTCAAGGTTAATAAAACAATTGAAGTTCTCTTTTGGATTAACCTCTGACAGATAAAGAATCACACCTTGCAAACTAATGAATCTCACACGTTGAGGTCACATGGATCAATGCAATTTTTGAATGCAAAAACTGCTTTGCAGTAAAATGTTTTGTGCTTTTATATACATATGTATATATCTTATATAAAT